CTCTATCCCTCTATCCCTATATTCCTCTCCCTATATCTCTCTATCCATCTCTCCATCATCCATCTCTCCATCTATCTATCTATCCATCTATTTATCTATCTATCTATCTATCTATCTAATGGCAGATACAGATACTGGAGCTTATTGTGATACTGTGACAGTCTGTGGTACTTGAGTAGGCACAGACTTTGGTAATGAAAATTTATCCACGGTTGTCGGTCTTTAATAGTATCTCGGTATCTGATTTAATAGGAATTTAGAATTCAATTACGCGCGTATCTGATACTTCGAGACTCGCAACGATCGATCGATCGATCGATCGATCGATCAAATCGCCGATATTTCGAATCATCGCGGGATGTGGAGCGAGTGGGCGATAAATAATCCGCAATTTAAAAATGACCGTATTTATATTTAGAATCGCGAGAGATTCTACAGGTGTTTTTCCGATTGCGACGCGTCGCAACGGAGGACGAAGATCTTTCGTCACTCTACCCGGCTCTTTCGCAACTCCATCCTCTCCGCGAATATCCGTCGTTCGGTCGTCCGAACGGAACGTCCACCCGTACTTAAGACGAGACGCGCGCGCCATGAGAGTTACACCACGCTCCTTTCTCCTTCTCTGACGAGAGACGGGCGTTTCGGAGCATTTCCGCGATCGGGTGTCACTGCGTCGGTAGGCGAAACTCGTGGGTGTTTCATACACGAAACACCTATGGACCGAGCTGCACGCACACGCGATCGCAGAACCATTCGACACTTGGCGAGTAACGTAGGGCATGGCAAGCTCATGCTTCAGGTGAGTTCGTCCTTCTCGCTCTCTTGTCCGTAAAACAGTCCCACGTACCGCGAACGCGACCCTGATTCTCAACAGAGTCCTCGATTGAAAAATATCCCATTTGTTTATTCTGTCTTTTATCTTGTCGAGGTTATGTTTCCGCTCCTCGGTCTAAATTGAAAGCAGAGGAACATCAATTTGTTTTTCTTTTATCGCTCGTCAAAATTTGTTTCTCACTCGTCTCGTCTCTCTGCGGCCTTATTACATATTAATTCATAAATCATTTGTGCTCTACCGTATGAAAATGTGTGATATTTATTTAGCGATTAATGTATCAGTTACTTACATATTTAATCTTGTAACATTTATAACTTATACATCCATTTATTTTATTTTTAGTGATGTGGACGAATATGGTTTCGAGCGACCACACGATTTCGATTATGAAACTTACGAAGATTTTATGTCCGAGTATCTCAAAGTACTTGCAAAGATGGCTAAAAAATGGGCAAAAATTATTGGCGAGGGCAAGTCTCTACAACGAAGCATTACAATAAAGAAATATGTTCGTAAAGGCATTCCAGGAGAACACAGAGGATTGGTAATACATGTTAAATAATTCAGCTTGTCACATCTTAAGTATCTAAGATAAAAAGAAATAAAATTAAATTATTCAGGTATGGCTCGCTGTAAGCGGTGGAGAAGATCTGAAGAATGAGTCACCAGATTTTTATCAAAAGTTATTATTGTCCCCTCACAATGCAGAAACTGCTGAGATTATTAAAACTGATCTCCCAAGAACATTTCCAGACAATATATTCTTTAATAACACAGAAAATCAACAGCATCAATTATATAATATATTGTTGGCTTTTGCTCATCAAAATAAAACTGTAGGATATTGCCAGGTAACAACCTCATATAGTGAATATTTTATGTATATAAATAAAACAGTAATAAAATTTTAATAATTTTAAGAAAAAGTTAACAATAAATAAGAAAATTTCAAATATATATTTGAAAATAGTTTCGAAATAGAGCTGAAATGTTTGATCTTTATTCTATTTTTAATTAAAATATATTTTATACGTAACAATTTATGCACTATTATCATGCGATATTCTCATTAGCCATTTTATATTTAATATTAAGAATCCTTATATAATTTTTATTATTTATTTTTTTAAACATATTTTTTCAATATCTTTCAGGGTTTAAACTACATAGCAGGTTTACTTTTGCTTGTAACAAAAAGCGAAGAAACAGCATTTTGGTTATTAAAAGTATTGATCGATAAAATCCTACCAGATTATTATACATGTACTATGGATGGTCTACTTACCGATATTGATGTTCTCGCAGAATTAGTAAGGTAACACATAGTTTACTATAATTTCACTTATCAACAGTATTATATACGGATGCGTTTATATTTGCACAGGATAAAAATGCCTGATGTGTATCAACATGTGACAAATATAGGACTACCTTGGCCAGTAATTACAACTAAATGGTTTGTGTGTTTATTTGCTGAAGTTTTACCTATAGAGGTATGTTCTAATTATCGTGGAATTTTTTTCATGTCATAATATCAGAATATATGCAAATATATTGATAATTACACTTATATACATAAAGAATTTAAATTTTTAATTAAGACTTTAATCATTGAAAATGTTTAATGATCTCGTATTTACAGACTACTCTACGTATTTGGGATTGTCTCTTCTACGAAGGTACTAAGATTATCTTCCGCGTCGCGTTGACGCTTATAAAAAGGAACAGATCCAATCTGTTAGCTTGCCAAGATTTTACAACATTAGCCGAATGTTTTAAGGATATAACGAAAGATAGTATTGTTTTACGATGTCATGAATTTATGCAGGTATGTAGCCATTGCACGTTGTCTAAACATTATAAATAAAACAAAAATTAAACATTTACGGAAATGGATATTATGTTTATTGTTTCAGAGTATTTTTAAAGTACCTGGATCACTGCCTGGGAGCACAATAGCAAAATTAAGAACGAAAATAATGCAACAACGTGCAAAACGAAAACAAGACAAGTTGGAGCGATAGTATTAATGATTGAGATTCCACGTACACCGAAATATTCTAGTCGTTGTTGATATTCGTTTATATCTTCTGCAAAATGGATGCATATAAAGTTGTATTATATTGTTACTGCATAATTATTATATTCTATTGCTGTACATACAATTTGTTTATTTAATAATGTAAGTATGATATATTTACTCAATCAGTCTAAGTTTATCTTAGTTTACTATTGTATATACGTAAAAAAAAACAAGGATTTATAAGATTATTATCTCACCGAGGATATTAAAATATGAAGTATTATAGAAACTATAATGGAAGTTATATACATAATTGTGATATTTTGCGGGAATTATATGAGAGTATTAAAAGCGAATATCTGAGAAAAAACGATTATACTTGTAATATTTTATAATTGACATTGAACTCATATGCACATACAGTTCTCACTTATGCACAAACTTCCCTCTCAAAACTCAATCTCAACAATGAAGGTATTAAAATCAATATAAATCAATAAATTCAAAAATTGTTTATAGAATAGATAATATATATGTAAAATTAAATTATGTTAAGAACTATGTACATTTAAAAAATTTTGTTCCTAAATACAGATATATATTACAATATATGCTACATACTCTATTTTCATTATTTCTCAAGCAGATCTTTTGCCTCGTTAATTTTTGCAGCGATATATGGAGAACCGCCACGATCTGGATGATTCACAGCCATTACCTTTTTAAATTGTTCCTTTACTTTGGCTTTATTAGCTGTGGGTGACACTCCCAAAATCAAACTAGCTTCTCGCCTGGTCATCTTCGGCTCGAAACCACCTTTGTAGTACTTACTATTCGCTAGCGACTATAAATTTAAAAATATTAACATTTATATTCGTGAATAATGCAACTATGAAAAATTTACTAAAGAGAAGTATTTCTACCTGGGAATCTAGCTTCTTTACTGTTTCTGCCATCCTTTGTGATAAATTTGGCATTCTCCTGAGCAGATAACGACCAGCAAAGCCAATAGCTGCTAGACCAATACCCGCTGCCACAGCTGTGGATGCCTAAAGAGCCAAGTTTTTATTCTTATTAAAATGTTAAAATTCGACATTCTAAGTCTTAATGAAATGCCTTGCTGAAGGCAGAAATGCATCATAAAAAGACTAAAGGAGACTTAACTGAGAAGACTTAACCTTTAGCTCTAGTTCTAATTCCATTAATATTAAATGTTTGTCATTTTACATGAAGATAGTTGTTCTCACAGCAAAATTCTCACCACTTTATGATATTAATATTACATATATATCAATAATGAAAAAAGCTGACGAAATATTTGTATACTGCGACAGCTTCGGCATTGCATTTCAGATTCGCCTACATATTTCACGAATTTGACATTGATACAGATCGTTTGCGTTCTTACGACATGTAGAATGCAAGTTTTATGCTATTAGATATTTTTTTTAAATAAATTCGTCAGTATTCTTACCATTTTTTACTTGGAATTCAAAACAGCAGACGCAATTTCGTACATATACACCGGGAAGAAATAATTTTAGCATGTGGAATGAGCTACGATCCCTCCATCTACTCCATTTTCAAAAGCATTACTTGTGATAAAATCGTTATTCTACATTATCATTCGTACATACATTTATATGATTACCTCGTTTTACATGCATATTCTCGGACATTACATCTATTTTTTTAAAACTACATTTTGCGTCTTCTATTCATTCGTAAAGTTTACAGAAAATATTTACTTAAGTAAGGAGTAACAAAGTACAACTGAATAAAACAAGACATTCATTTTTAACTGCACCTTTTATCTTTTTTTTTTTCTAAGATAAAACGCGAGCGAGATATCGCATGTTTTGATTGCAAAGAAGAGAAAAAAAAGGAAACAAGAGTAAACGTAAAACAGATATCTCTGGATGTGAAAATAAATAGAGAAACTCTTTCACATATATGTGCGATCAAGTGGACGGTAACACGAAGCTTCGTCACGAAGACGGACAGCCGTCTCATTCGATCGACCGCTGGTTCCAACCAATTGATAATAATCAATGCAGACAGACTTCGTAGTTGATTGTGAGCTTTCTGCATCTTTCCCCTTCTTCCTCCTAAGTCTAATTGTCCATCTATTTCATTTCACGCTCAAGAAAACGCAACCAGAAGGAACAGATCGCTCCCAGTGTCGATCACGACACCTTCTCGATTGTTCCCGATCGTTCTGCCGAAGTTCGGATCAAGTCCATCCATTCTCCAGAATCCTGGGAGTTCCTGGGCATCTCGGAGCGCGAGACACCCAGGACACGATGATGTCACGGAGACGCCGCGCGGGAGCGGCGACCGGCGAGGCTCTACGCCACAGCCGTTACGATACGACCGCATGCGCGCGCGAGGCGAAGCCGGCGCGTCGCCGCGCGAGGCTTGCGAAATGCACGCACGGAAACGCACGAGTCGCAGCCCCGCGCGCGCGTTCCGTTTCCGTATAAACGCGCGTATAAATATCGACTATCGGCCGCGAGGCCGATCGCCGGGCCGTCGAGATCTTCGGATTTTCGGCGCGCGGTCACGGCCGCGCGTGGCCGCGGGATTCCTCCCGCTGTTGCATCGATTTCGCGCTTGGAAAATTAATACCGGGGCCTGTGAGCCACGAGCCGGAAAACGTTAGAGTTAGCACACGAGTCTAGCGCACGATGGTTGTCGATTCTTTTGGGATTTTCGACGATACAATCGGTACGATCCAATTCCGGAACGCTCGCTTGTTTCCAACTTCGACTCGATTCGACTCAACTCGGTTCCGCACACCGACGTTGATTAGCGCTCAAGTTCTGGTTAACTCAATCTATCTCCCTTCCTCCACCCCTCTTTCCCTCCCTCACTGACTGTATATCGCGAGGTGAGACTGATATAACTTCGCCAAGTTGATATTTCGATGCGACAGATATGCGAATGCGAAAATAACTCATGTTTACTCTGTAATTTGAC